ACAGTTACGTGAGCTCTTCCCTGCGTTGGCAAAGACCAGTTTGAGCAACAGCATCTGAAGGAGAGGAGAAGAGTCTGCAGGAGTCCCTGCCACAGGGGTTTGTGGGGGTTTGGTGGCGCCCTGTTTGTGAGCATCACCCCTGAATGAGAAAAGGCTTTTCCATGGGTTGTTTTCTAGCATTTTGTAAAGTTTGCTGGTTTGTCAGGCTCCTTTTGTGGAGGTTGCAGCTGGCTCATCCTGGGCTGCATCCCCTAGCAGATTATGGGTTCAGGACCAGCCTGGTTGAGGAGCACTGTAGCCACATGTCACACTGGGAGCCCTCGGGACAGCTCTGCTGCTGTAGCTGTGTGTAGCAGCAACCTTGGGGTACCACTGGTGTGACCCTGCTGCGTGGGATGGCCAGTGAGCGCCAGCATCCCTGGGCAATGTCCCATGTTTCTGGAGCTGGAGGATGGTGGGGTTGGGGTACAGTGGGCAAGCAGATGGTGCCTTTACCCATGGCATTAATGTCTTTCGGCTTGGGCTTTCCTCAGAGGCATGAAGGTCATTGAAAACAGGGGCATGAAGGATGAGGAGAAGATGGAGCTCCAGGAAATGCAGCTGAAGGAGGCGAAGCACATAGCGGAGGAGGCTGACCGCAAATACGAGGAGGTGCATGCCCACACCCACATGCACCCTTCCCCAGTCCTGACCTCCCCGATGGCACCCGGGTCTGCCTCCCTGCAGTCCTGTGCCCCTAGCTGGGACAAGTGTGGGGCTGACACTTGCCTCTTGCTGCCGTGACAGGTTGGGAGAGCTGGAGCGCTCAGAGGAGAGGGCAGAGGTGGCGGAGAGGTAAGCAGGGCTTCTGGTGTGGGGATCCCGTGCAGCCCTTGCCCCACACCCCTGGTAGCCATGGGGATGGGGATGTCCCTCCCTGGGAGCGGCAGGGTCTGCCATCGAGGTGGTCCCTGGGCTTGCAGGCTGGGTGCAGGGGGATGTCAGTCTGCTGGCAGCACATCCTTGACCCTGTT